GTATGTTTATAATATTTTTAAATATTACCTATGACTAACTATATATTCTAGTTTATAGTCTTTAAAATTTTAAGTTTTTAAAAGGATACTAGAAACAGATTGTCTTCTACGTGCATTGATGAAGTAGTGCCTTACAACAGTTGAAGCCAAAACAATAAAACAGACTATTTTATATTACCTCAACTTTTTAATTTAAATTAAGATTCAATAGACACTTTAGTTCTTAATTTTCATTAGCTGCATTTCAAGGGCTCCAATGTGCTCATGTGTCTAGATGTCATATTGTACTGTGCTGTTCCAGAATTTATTTACATTCATCTGCTACTGGTCATCTTATTTTATATTTCCTTTACCAACTATTAAAGCCTTGATTTTTAGCATGTTTATTAAAATACATGTTTTAAAAACTAGAAAATATTTTTTAATAAAAAGACATATATTAGGTGCATATTCTCTGTAAAATATTACTAGACAGTTCTCTGGAAAATATTAGTAGGTAATTTGCTGTGATGCTGAACACTGGGACACTGATGTGCCAAACGTGGTAATGGTTACCCGTGGTGGACAGTGTTTGCTGGAGCTTCCTGTCTAAAACAAGCCTGGAAAAAAGAAAAAAAACCAAGCCTGGAAGCAGGAGCGGCATCCACTTCCAAAAAGGCTTGCCTCCGGAAACTCTATGTACGAACAGTGCTCAGGCTGTTCGTTCATAGGGTCGCTATGAGTCGTCTACGACTCGACGGCACCTAACAACAACAAAAACAATTTAGGATTTGAATTCTAGATTTGATTTTAGTGTTTCTGAAACACTTAAGTGTAAATTGCCTTTGTCTGTAATGATTGTCAGCCTGCTGGGGACCTTTGGCAATGTCTAAAGAAATTTTTGATGGTCACAACTTGGAGTAGATGCCATTGGTACCTTGTGGGAGAGAGGTCGAAGATGCTTCTAATGAGCAGCCTAACAAACCAGAGCTGACCAGCCCCAAATGTCTATAGTGTCAAGGTTTAGAAACCTTTTTCTTTGGATTTCCAATGTGCTTTCATTGATACTTTTTCTTTACTTGCAGATTTTGTCTTCAGATGACAATGATTTATGATCTATCTTGTTTATTTTTTTAAAAAAATTATTTAAAAATTTTTATCAGGTCATTTTTTAGGGGATTCAGTTAGTAATTAATCTTAACTATTGTAAAATTTATATGTTAATTTTTTAAAAAATTAAAAATGTATTTTGTACTCATTTCCATAATGATTTGTGACAAAGCTTTCTTTTTTATTAGGAAAGTGAAAATATACAGCACAGCCTCATACAAAGTAGTTCACAGTTTTGATTATGCAGCTTCAATTTTGAGTCTTGCGCTTGCAGTAAGTACTTTTAACTCTTAAAGCTTTCCTTCTCTGAGCGTGCCTGTTCAGTAAAACAAAGTGAAATTCTAAGGTTTAGCTTTAGTTTTCAGTTCAGTCTTGATTTTTTTTCTTTGCTGTATTGTTACTGCAAACATTCAATACAGCAAAGAAAAAAAATCAAGACCATGTCATCTTGTAATCCTTTTTCTAATAAGAGGATACAGGAAAATACTATTTTGAAACTTGACCAAGATGTCATTAACTGTATTTGTTGTTACATTAGCTTTGCCAGTGATATTTTACAAGATATGCCAGTATTTTGGCTTCTCAGTGCACACACCAAAAAATTGATCTTTTTTGGTTATAGTTCATTTTCAGGTAGGATATCTGTTTCTGATTGGAATTTGGTGAAAATAGGATATGCAGCTAACGTTATCACTGCAATTTTGATAAAAATCACTATAAATTATGTGTTCAGAATACTGTTAGGTGCTGTCAAATCAGTTTCAACTCAGTGACTGAAAGTACAAAAGAATGAAACAGTGTGTGTCCTGTCCTCACCAATCACCTTTGTGTTGGATGCATTGTTGACTTATGAATGCACTGATTATTTTTCCATTATTGTTAGCATGGAGATGAGACGATAGTTGTAGGAATGACCAATGGAATCCTGAGTGTTAAACATCGGAAACCTGAAGCAAAGAAGGATGCTTCTTCCAGGAGACGAAGGCCTGCATATAGAACATTTATGAAAGGAAAAAATTACGTGAAGCAACGGGTATTTATGGGTTTCTCCTCTTAAGTTTTTTGGGTTTTTTTTTTTTAATTTAGGTTGTTTATTTTTCATTTCAATGAACATCTACAGAGATTTTGGGATTCCATTCATTCATTGTTGC